TTGGGGGGGGGGGGGTATTGGGTTATGGCTTTGTTTTAGGAGGTGAGGTGTTGAACAACAACAAAGAACGACTGTTGCTGGAGAAGAGAATTTTAGCCATCTAGGTGATGTTTCTTTTTTGCTTTTCCTCCCATAAATAAAAAAGAATCCCATGACAGTAGCACATGCTTCTTATTGGCCACAGATTTTTCTAACTCTCCGTAGTTGAAAGGAGGAATAGCGAGCAATTCATATGCATGTAGAATGTCAAATGAGTGACAAATTTTGGAGGTTTAATTTGCATATACTAGATCAAATTATGGATATGTGTGCAATTCTCTGTTGGGAATTTTGAAGGTGCTCGTATATATGTGCCTTGCTATAATCCCTTTTTCTCTTTTTTTTGGTGAATGCAGGCAAAATGCTATCCGTCTTGAGGAGAAGGAGAAGAGGGAAAAGGAAATCAGAAACCAAATTATTGAGGAAGGTGAAGAATATAAGAAAGCATTCTATGAGAAAAGAAAGCTCACTGTTGAGACCAACCAGTCAACAAACCGTGAGAAAGAGAAGGTGAAGCTTTAGAGAGTATAGTTACTCTTACTAACTGGAGTTACATTTGATCCTTCCTACTCTTGCTTAAAAGCTTTTTTATATCTAGCTTTGACAAGTTCTTTCGCCTCTGACAGTTGTACTTGAGTAATCAAGAAAAGTTCCATAAAGAAGCTGACAAACAATATTGGAAAGCCATAGCTGAGCTCATTCCTAAGGAGGTGGCCACCATTGAGAAGAAGGGAAGGAAGAAGGATCAAGAGAAGAAGCCATCCGTCACAGTTGTCCAAGGGCCTAAACCAGGGAAACCTACTGAACTTTCAAGGATGCGCCACATACTGCTGAAGCTTAAGCACAGCCCACCACCTCACATGATACCACCCCCTCCCCCTCCTGCCAAGGACGCCAAAGCTGGGAAGGATGGAAAAGACACCAAGGATGGAAAAGACGCCAAGGGGAAAGATGCCAAGAATGCTAAAGATGAAGCACCAAATGGAACTTCAGATGCACCTCCTAGTGATGCCAAAGTTACTCAGACATCAGAAGAACCTGCTGCTGCAGAATGATTGCCATTGTGCCTAATTTCATTAATCTTTAATGTGTTATGTGTTGTCCTCTACAAAATAACTCTTTTCTTTATGAATTTTGTATCACTTACTACATTCTGTGCCATTCTACTACTATTTTATTGGTTCGAGACTGACAATAGCTGCTGCATTTTGTTGCACTGAACGTCTGAGATCTGTTATTGTACTATTTAGGTCTTTCTTTATTGGAGGTGAATTCACTATTTTCTTGTTCACAGGAACCTTATATTCCTTGAAAGTTGATTTTGTGGTGCAAGTACGATCCCATTGTTGCTTGGGCCTTGGGTGTTAGTGGTCGTGAATATGATATATAGGTGTCAAGGGGCCGGGCCGATCGGGGTAGAGGAAAAGGGAACCGGCCGGTTTTGTTACTGGCCGGTTTCCGGTTATTTTTTATTGTGTTTACCGGTTCTGGGCTTCCCTGGTGCAAAATTTAACCGGAACGGTTTTGGGCCTAATTGGTTGGGCTAGGCCGGTGTTTTTTTTTTTCTTTTGTATAACAAATTAAGATAAAGTAAAAATGTAAAACACTAAAAACTACATATAAAAAGAATGTGTGAATAAATTTCAAAGGCTTTAAAAGCCTTATTTGAAGAATTCGATACAAATTTAATATAATACAATTAACATGAAAAATATATAACTTATAGTATAAGTCTTATACTGGAGTGTTGATAACTTGATATGTAAGGATCAAACTTCAAAGGTTTTCATAGTTTCATTTTAAATTTTCATTGTATAATAATACTTCAAATTAATCTAACAAACTAAAACATTAAGCTTAAATAAGTCTAATAGTTTTAAAATAACACAAATTGTCTAAAATCAAATTAAATACGAATTTCTCTGGGTGAAATTCAAAAATAGCCAGATTTACAAGTGGTAATTGAAAAATAGCAAGTTTCAAAAGTAATCGAAATTTAGCCACTTTTCAAAATAAATTTGAACGAAAACACTATTCAAAATCCGGAAAATATTCCAGCATAATATACTGGAGTTCGTATTTTTTACATGTGAGTTTCCAGCATAATATACTGGTCTAACATAATATGCTGGAAGTTCATACACAGGTGAACCGATCTCGAGTATAGTATGCTGGAACTTTTCGTGTTGCAATAAAATAATGACTATTTTTCAATGACTTTGCGAACGCTGGCTATCTTTCAATTACCAGTCCGAAAACTAGCTAGCCTGTGCTATATTTACAATTTCTGGAGGACGCTCAAGACAACTCTTCATATGCCTCCTTAAACAGCCCGTCCCTCCCACTTTTGACAAAAATTTAAGACTCGAGCACAATTCTTGCACTTTACTTTGCGAACTTCTTCATTTTCTTCTACCATCTCACATTGTTCCCAAACATATGAGCGCGCTCTAGAAGCACGGGCCATGATTTAACTTGAATTGAGAATTTGAATTTGAGAATTGAGGGACGAGTGAAGAAATGAAGAAGAAGGGGGGTCTATTTATAGTTTTTCAAAGGGCTAAATAGTAAATAATAAAAGTATTATTTTTGAAAGAAAATACCCAAAAGGGCTATTATTGCAAATTAGCCGTTGGACAACAGTCAAAATGGCAGCTGATTGTTGCCAAACGGTCAACTTTATAAAAAAAAATCGAAACAGCTGTTGAACCGGTCCGGTTAACCGGTTTCCCAAATGACTTGACCATAACGGGTCGTACTGGTTCGGTTAACGGGTACCAAAACTCTACCAGGCACAGGCCGGTCCCTGTCCCAACCCAGCCCTGCCCGGATTTTTTGCATGTAAAGGGATTTTTTGCATGATTAGGTAATTCATTTTCGCATTATACCCCCATCCCGCCCAACCACCTCCATCACACCCAAATCATACACCCCCACCCCACCCCCAACCCTCTTGCCAACCACCCCACCGCCACTCACGACCCCTCACCACCACCTACCCCCGCACCACCTAATTATTTTTTACAGTTTCTATTTTATCTTTTACCTTAATTTAATATATACTAGTCTCTCGGCATGTGTATGCCGAGTCAGAGGATACACAAATTAGTAAAATAACATATATACCAAATATAATTAATAATCTGGCTCTGTCACCTAACATTAAGACGTTTGATGAATAAAGTCAAAAGACATACTCTTTGATGAATAAAGTCAAAAGACATACTCGCCAATCAATTTTGTCTCTATTCTTCTAGCCATCACACTTCCAATTAGGCTTGGTATATTTTCAGTTTTAAGTTTAATTGCTCCAATAGACAATGTAGAAAGCAACATTCTTCGATCAATTTTATCTTCTCTATACCTTCTGCCATAACAATATCATTTGTGCCTCATACATAATTATCGTATCAAGATTGATTGCTCTTTTCTAAATATCAAGTCTCCTTTTTATATTTTGATGTACATTCATCTTCAACTTCATCAAATACATGTATATTTATTCATCGATAAGTGTTAGCTAGAGTTTAAATTTTATCAGTGATTATGAAAGGTTGAATTGTGTAATAAGTCATTCTTTGTCTACTAAATACAAAGTAGGTAATCAAGTAAGATAAAATTAAGGAAAGATGTCCAGGTATGCCATGTACTATTAAAAATTACTTGATATCTAATTTTTAAAATAAGACTCTAGAGCTTGATATCTTCCTCAAATGACCATGGTACTTTCTTCTCAGTAGTGTTATCATATCAGGGAGCTCTTATTTCTCTCCCCATTTATTTGTTTAACTAAATAGAACTCAGATAAAGATAACTTAAATTCAACAAGGAAATATCTATAGGATACAAATTGTTGTAGTAGCAAAAATTAAACTTGATCTTCTATTCACTATATAAAATCAAAGTCATTTTTTTTATAAGTAAGGATTAATGAGTTCATATATTCAATCCAGGTTCTCGACTCATATATTCTCGCTCATAAGATTTGTTTTCATGTGAAATTCACTAATCTTAGGAAAAAAAGACTAAATAACTCGTGAGAGAATACATTTCCACAATACAGAAAGTAAAGAAAATTTTGTTTTGTTTCATCATGAAAATATGACCAATGTTCAATCAATTTATCTATTAGACATATATAGAAGTGCCGGAACTCTTAATGTTGAGAAATTATTTGAACGGCCATCTATGACGTCGACCACATCTCTAGCTAGAACTCCACAAAATGATTAAACTTGTCAGCTACTCCTTTTAATGTACAAAATCGACCAACGAATCAACATAAAAGAACATAAAAACTAATACATAAATAGAGTGATAAGCAAATAAATAAGAAAGATAAATTACAAAAAATATAATATTGCAGATTTCATCGATAAAGTAAAACGCAACTGGAGAAATTTTGAAACAGACCACAACCACAAGCCAGAATAGAAGCGCAATTAGATCAAAGTTAAAGCAAGCAAACATTAAAAAAATAAGAATCGTCAAACATGCACTATGACCACGAAATTTAAAAGAGCATGTAAATAATTTTTAAAATATATGATAAAAAAATTCGGAAGAAGTTCAATAATTGTATTTAAAAAACACATGTGTACAAGCTCTGCAGGTGTCTCACCAGTGGATGAACTCAGTAAGGTTATCATGTTGATTGATCGTAGATAAAACAACAATATAAGAGGCAATTTAGTGTTTTGACTTTAGTCATGAACCGATGTGTACCTAGAAAATGAAAGCATGTCTTTTCATAAATTGGAGAAATAGTGAAAGAAGTTAAAAAGTGACTTGTGAAAATACAAAACTTGAATATATTACGGATGTGGAAGAAAGCACAATAAACATCTATATCGGCCACATAAAATGGTGGCAACTCTTCGGATAAAGTTGTTCGGCGTTAGGTTTATCTATGTAATGATCCGGCCGGTCGTTTTAAGAATTAACGCCCCGATCCCCTATTAACTGCTTTTCCCGTATTTGTTTCTGCTATTGTGAGTTGCCGAGAGGTTTCAATTTGAGTTTCGGAGTGTTTTGGGACACTTAGTCCCTAAATGAGAGTTTAAGTTTTAGAATTTGGACCATAGTCGGAACAGTATGAAGACGGCCTCGGAATGGGATTCCGTTGGTTCCGTTAGCTCCGTTGGGTGATTTCGGGTTTAGGAGCGTATTCGGATTGTGTTTTGGAGGTCCGTAGCTTATTTAGGCTTGAAATGCCGAAAGTTGAATTTTTGAAGTTTCCGGTTCGATAGTGAGATTTTGATATAGGGGTCAGAATGGAATTCCGGTAGTTGGAGTAGGTCGTTGTGTCATTTGTGACGTCTGTGCAAAATTTCAGGTTATTCGGACGAGGTTTGATAGACTTTTTGATCGAAAGCGTAATTAAGAAGTATTTGGAATTCTTAGGCTTGAATTCGATAATAATTTGGTGTTTCGACGTTGTTTGAGGTGTTTTGAAGATTGGTATAAGTTTGGGTAGTGGTATATGACTTGTTCGTGCTGTTGGTTGAGGTCCCAGGGGCCTTGGGGTGATTTCGGATGGTTTGACGGAAAGTTAGGAAATTGGGAGTTGCAGCTGAAGTTTATAGCTGCTGTCATAACCACATCTGCGGCTGGGAAGCCGCAGGTGCGACTCCCGCAGATGCGGAAGCAAGCCGCAGAAGCATCCAAGAGGGAGTCAGGCGGAGCCGCAGGAGCGGGCTTAAGGACGTATCTGCGATGGCACAGGTGCGATAGTGTGACCGCAGGTGTGGTCCAGACCGTCAAGTGAAAATCCGCAAGTGCGGTAGTTTTGGCCGCAGAAGTGGGCCCGCAGAAGCGTTAATTGGACCACATATGCGGTTTTGCTGGGTCAGAACATATATATTTCGCCCTTCGTGAATTTTAGCTATTTTTGACCTCTTTTCAAACGGGAAGAAGCTTTGGGGAGCATTTTCAAGGGGGATTTTCAGAGGGATTCATTGACGTAAGGTCTTTGGTTCCAAGAACTCGTTTCTATGGTGTTATTTCATTGATTAGGCTTGAAATTTATGGAAATTATGGATAAATATTGAAGAAACTAGGGCTTGGTTAATTGGAGAGTTTGAGTGGTAATTTGAGGGACCATTTGAGATCCGATTTTGGTGCTCTTGGTGTGGCTGAACTCGTGAGAGTGTGAGGATTCCGAATTTGTAAATTTTACCCAATTCCGAGATGTGGGCCCGGAGGGCGTTTTAGTCATTTTACCTAATTTCGCGTATTAGCTTAGAATTTATTTGTAGAATCAGTTACTTTAAGTGTTATTTACATTATGCA